ACAAACATTATGCAAGTGCAAAGAAATTTTTATTCAGGAGCCAGAGAAACAAAGGAGTAAAAATCCTTCACATTGTTAATACAGCTGTGGGAGTCCAAGGGGAAAAACAAAGCAGTAATCAAAGTACAACAGCATTTCATGCTAAAGAAAAGAAAAAGCATGCTAAATTCAAGAGCCTCTGAAAAGCATAGTGTGTTTAAAAACTAGAGTAGTAATAAATAATTTTGAATTAGGAAGAACCTTACATTTCAGGCAGCAAATGAAAAGGTTTCAATGCTAAACTGAAGTTATACCAATTTACATCAGAGATTGGTTTCCTGGATTTTCGGATATGGTTGTCTGTAAGCTCACTCACCATTAATAAAAGGACAAACTTTTCATTTCAGAAATGATTACTTGAGCAAACTCAATCTTGTATTTAGCTTTTTATTTTTAAAGTTGGCTTCTACCACAGAAGTTGACATTATTGAATTAATGGTCTTTAACAGCTGTATAGTTTCCTGCCTTAGTACATCATGTATTGCAACACATAGAAATAAAGTGCAACTTGTCTTTATTCCTCATTATAGAGCTCAGCATTTGCATCAGATGTGGTGATTGATTTAACTGCTGTTATTGATTTGAGACAATATGTACGAAGCTGGTTTCCTAAGAGGTACTTTGGCAGGCATTTTGAAGCTTCCCTGGGGAGAAAAACCCATTATCTACTGACAGGTTTCAGAGTAACAGCCGTGTTACTCTGTGTCCATAAAAAGAAAAGGAGTACTTGTGGCACCTTAGAGACTAACAAATTTATTTGAGCATAAGCTTTCATGAGCTACAGCTCACTTCATCGGATGCATGCAGTGGAAAATACAGTGGGGAGATTTTATATACACAGAGAACATGAAACAATGGGTGTTACCATATACACTGTAATGAGAGTGATCAGGTAAGGTGAGCTATTACCAGCAGGAGAGGAAAAAAAAACCTTTGGTAGTGATAATCAGGGTGGGCCATTTCCAGCAGTTGACAAGAACTTGTGAGGAACAGTGTGTGGGGGGGAAATAAACATGGGGAAATAGTTTTACTTTGTGTAATGACACATCCACTCCCAGTCTTTATTCAAGCCTAATGTAATGGTGACCAGTTTGCAAATTAATTCCAATTCAGCAGTCTCTTGTTGGAGTTTGTTTCTGAAGTTTTTTTGTTGAAGAATTGCCACTTTTAGGTCTGTGATTGAGTGACCAGAGAGATTGAAGTGTTCTCCGACTGGTTTTTGAATGTTATAATTCTTGGTGTCTGATTTGTGTCCATTTATTCTTTTGCGTAGAGACTGTCCGGTTTGGCCAATGTACATGGCAGATTTGGCATGAACAGCAGCAGAAAAATCTTGCAACCTCCACCATTAATGCAGTACAACCCACTTCATTTTGGAATAACCTTCCAAGGGAAGCAGTGGAGGGCAAAAGACCTATCTGGCTTTAAGATTAAACTCGATAAGATTATGGAGGAGATGGTATGATGGGATAACATGATTTTGGCAATTAATTGATCTTTAAATATTCATGGTAAATAGGCCCAATGGCCTGTGATGGGATGTCAGATGGGGTGGGATCTGAGTTACTACAGAGAATTCTTTCCTGGGTATCTGGCTGGTGAATCTTGCCCATATGCTCAGCTGATAGCCATATTTGGGGTCGGGAAGGAATTTTCCTCCAGAGCAGATTGGAAGAGGCCCTGGAGGTTTTTCGCCTTCCTCTGTAGCGTGGGACGGGTCACTTGCTCGAGGATTCTCTGCTCCTTGAAGTCTTTAAACCATGATTTGAAGACTTCAATAGCTCAGACATAGGTGAGAGGTTTATCGCAGGAGTGGGTGGGTGAGATTCTGTGGCCTGCATTGTGCAGGAGGTCAGACTAGATGATCATAATGGTCCCTTCCAACCTTAATATCTATGAATCTCATCAATGTACCTTAATGTTGACCTGAAGACATTATCCATGTCCATTCAGTCCTTCTGGGACAGTTGACAAGGATTTCAGTTCTTTGGAGGTGGCGTGATTTTTTTATGTGGATACTTGGTGATGCCACTCGTGGGATTTACAGAGCTCCCAGAGACTTCCGTTTTTACCACTGTTAAACTCTGAAATTTCCTGTACTGACCATTGGAAGGGGCAGAATACTAAACTAGATAGACCTCTGTTTGTATCTAGTATGACAATTCCTGTGTTCCTATACAAGGGTGAGGAGAAAACTACTTTTGCCTCCTCCCCTCTCCCATGGTGCAGATGTATAAATAGGAGCGTAACATCACCAGAAAATCTCACCCAGACAATGAGAATGTGACATTGAACAAGAGCCTAAATAGCAAGTTTATCGAAAATAAGTCTACCCACAATTTTGCACTTGTATTAACAGAGGATATTTGAAACTTGGCCCAGTGTATTCATAACCATATAATAAAAATTAATCATGCTTAGTATTCAGGCTGCATGTATCAAAGGGGAAACACATAACTGATTGTTGGATATTTTTCTGATTTATTACAACAGATAGAAAGCTCCTAACCAAAGTGATGTGTGACAAATTTTGTGGTTCATTCCATTGGGTTCTTTCCTGCTGGTTTCTCAGAACATGAATGTGATCTTTTGCAACTTCCCTTATGACACTGTAGAAGAAAGAAGTACAGCTCAAACCATACATAAACTCAGGTCTCAGCGCTCATTTGTTCCTCTACTATGCTTACTGTACTCCATAGCACATTATTTGCTATTTAAGTACTGTGTGTAGCTAATAAAATGATTTTAAAGCACCCCCACTGCCTCACCAAAAAGCTCATTGTATTTCACAAACTATTAATATGTAGTCAAAATAATAAACAATAATTAAAATATAGAACACCCTAAATACTAAAAGAACGACAAAGCTGTATTGCAAAAATGGAGTATGTGGGGGTGTCTTATGCATGGATATTAAAAAAGGGGAGCAGTAGACCTGAAAACAGGAGCAAGTTACATATACCCTAGAGCAGGGGTTCTCAACCTCTTTCTTTCTGAACCCCCTTCCAACATGCTATAAAAACCCCACTGCCCGCCTCTGCCACAACAACTCTTTTTTCTCCAGATCCAGTAGATTAAAAGCCAGTGCTGGCATTAGGGGGTAGCAAGCCCTGAGGCTCCATGCCTCAGGGGACTCCGTGAAGCTAAGTTGCCTAGGCTTTGGCTTCAGCCCCGGGCCTCAGTGAGTGTAATGCCAGCCCTGCTCTCTAGTTTATTTTGATGGTCCCCCAGAAACCTGCTCACAGCCCCCCAGGAACCTCCGGATCCCTGGTTGAGAATCACTGCCCTCGAGATCACAGCTACAATAAGGGCAGCTGACCTAAATGGTGGAACCCCAAAAAGTTGGGAGGTGAGTAATGGAGATAGCCTTGGGGCTCCAGAGGGAAACATGGGCAAATAGGTCATTTTGCATCATGGCCTGAGTCTGAAGAAGAGATTCTTAAGATTTGGATAGGAAGAGGTCATCAGTAACTTTTGTGAAGGTAGTTTCAAGAGGAGTGGATTTTGTTCTGTGTTTCGGTGCTCAACTCCCTGCACCTCTTTACACTTTATTTTCATGCTTTAGTTTATAACAGACACGTTGGATCCCTCTGTTGTTTGGTGCATGGATACAAGCAGATATATGCATATATATGCACAGGGCTGTCAAGCTGTGTCATCTTGAATGAGGGAGGTAAGATAGATATATGAATGCAATCTTCAAATGTCCCATCTAACCCACACTGCAAAATCCTTCTCAGGAGAGCTTTTGAAAAGAATAGGAGTACTTGTGGCACCTTAGAGACTAACCAATTTATTTGAGCATGAGCTTTCGTGAGCTACAGCTCACTTCATTGGATGCATACCGTGGAAACTGCAGCAGACTTTATATATACACAGAGGGGTGGGAGGAGGTATTGTTTCATATTCTCTGTGTATATATAAAGTCTGCTGCAGTTTCCACGGTATGCATCCGATGAAGTGAGCTGTAGCTCACGAAAGCTCATGCTCAAATAAATTGGTTAGTCTCTAAGGTGCCACAAGTACTCCTTTTCTTTTTGCGAATACAGACTAACACGGCTGTTACTCTGAAACCTTTGAAAAGAATGCCATCTTAGTGCACAAAGAAAGTGTCTCCAACAACACAAGTGAGCCTCAGCTGGTGGGTGCTAGTGGAAAGGTGGGGTGTGTGAACTTGGGGAATGGTGCATTAGGGTAATACAAACACATTATGAAGCCTTAGCCTGGGCAGACTGTACCTAATTCTGCGAGATACAGGAAGGTGCAGGCTGAGATTTGCCAAGGAAGAAGCTGGACACCCAAACCCCCCTAAAAAGAAAAGGAGTGCTTGTGGCACCTTAGAGACTAACACGTTTATTTGAGCATAAGCTTTTGTGAGGTACAGCTCACTTCATCGGATGCATTCAGTGAAAAATACAGTGGGGAAATTTATATACACAGAGAACAAGAAACAATGGGTGTTAACCATACACACTGTAACCAGAGAGTGATCAGATAAGGTGAGCTATTACTGGCAGGAGAGCAGGGGAGGGGGGACGACCTTTTGTAGTGATTATCAAGGTGGGCCATTTCCAGCAGTTGACAAGAACGTCCGAGGAGCAGTGGGGGGGAATAAACATGGGGAAATAGTTTCACTTTGTGTAATGACCCATCCACTCCCAGTCTCTATTGGAGCCTAAGTTAATTGTATCCAGTTTGCAAATTAATTCCAATTCAGCAGTCTCTCCTTGGAGTCTGTTTTTGAAGTTTTTTTGTTGAAGAATTGCCACTTTTAGGTCTGTAATCCAGTGACCAGAGAGACTGAAGTGTTCTCCGACTCCAAGCCCCACTGAATGTCAATGGGAGCTGCTGGGTGCCTAACTCCCTTTGAGGACCCCGGCCTCTTTCTAACACGTTGCTTAACGCTCCCAAGAGGTAGCCCCCGCCCATGGGACCCCACTGTCCGCGGCTCACCCGCCCTGGCTGAAAGGGCGGAAGGGCAGCGCAGGGGGCGGGGTTTAATGCCGGCTCTGCGCGGAGTTGTTGACGGAAGTGGCCTCTTGCGCTGAAGCGAGGCGGCTGCTGCCTGAGCGAGACGCTGGCTCTGCGTTAGCAAAGGGCCAGGTAAGGGGTGCGCGTGGCTGGGTTCTTGCCTCTCCGCTGTGGCTGGCGGCGACGGGGAGGGCGCGGGGGAGCTGAGGCTGGATGCCTGGTGCCTGCTGTTCCTGGGAGCTGCGCAGCTAGAGCGGCACCCGCCAGCCTCACCCCGGCGCTCCCAAAATCAAAAGCTTTCTTGGTGTGGCTAGCCACGCACAGCTGCTCGCCCGGGTGCCTGTCACAGCTAGCTGCAGTGTACTGAGCAGCTGCCTGGTTTGTTGCCTGGGCTCTCTAATCCATTTGCCAGTGTTGCCCCTCTCTGACTTGGTAGCAAGTTGCAGCACGATGCAAAATGTCCCATCCCTTTCCTTTCTCCTGGGATTATGCAGCTTTCAACGTGCCCCGCCAAATTTAACACACACAAAAATATGGCTTATGGGCCAACGACCAAAAAAAAAAAAAAAAAATCTCCTAATTCTTAATCTAGCCAAAGAGTCCCCCCATTCAATCCTTCCCCTCAGAGGAACCCTTGAAGAACAGATGTGATCTCCGGTTATAAATTTAGTTAGTTACTAAAACCTGCAAAGGGGGTCCGGGATTGTGTCTCTAAGGTGCCACAAGTCCTCCTTTTCTTTTTGCGAATACAGACTAACAGGGCTGTTACTCTGAAACCTGTTCTCCTGAGTGTTATCATAGCAACTAGTACAGAGCAAGACAACACTCTCTGGATACTCTTGCAAATTAATTAAGTGTCCCTGAAGGTCAACAGATCCAGACTTGGTGTGTGTGTGAAGTGGGGGAGTCAATTCCAGAGCTAAGGACTAGGGCTCTCGATTAATTGCAGTTAACTCATAATATTAATTGAGATAAAAAATTAATCACAGTTTTAATCACGCTGTTAAACAGTGGAATACCAATTGAAATGTTTTAAATATTTTGGATGTTTTTCTATATTTTCATATATATTGTATTCCGTGTTGTAATTGAAATCAAAATGTGTATTTTTATTACAAATATTTGCACTGTAAACATGATAAACAAAACAAATAGTATTTTTCAGTTCACCTCAAACAAGTACTGTAGTGCAATCTCTTTGTTGTGAAAGTGTAATTTACAAATGTAGATTTTTTTTTGTTACATAACTTCAGTCAAAAACAAAACAAGGTAAAACTTCAGAGCCTACAAGTCCATTCAGTCCTACTTCTTGTTCAGCCAATCACTAAGACAAACAAGTTTGTTTACATTTACAGGAGATAATGCTGCTCTTTTCTTATTTACAATGTCACCAGAAAGTGAGAACAGGCATTTGCATGGCACTTTTGTAGTTCTCATTGCAAGGGATTTACGTGCCAGATATGCTAACCATTCTTATGCCCCTTCATACTTCGGCCACCGTTCCAGAGGACATGCTTCCATGCTGATGATGCTAGTTAAAAGAATTATGCGTTAATTAAATTTGTGACTGAACTTCTTGGGGTAGAATTGTATGTCCCCTGCTCTGTTTTACCCGCATTCTGCCATATATTTCCTATTATAGGAGTCTCGGATGATGACCCAGCATGTTGTTCATTTTAAGAACACTTTCACTGCAGATTTTACAAAATGCAAAGAAGGTAGCAATGTGATATTTCTAAGATAGTTTCAGAAGTTGAGCCAAGGTTTAAGAATCTGAAGTGCCTTCCAAAATTTGAGAGAGACGAGGTGTGGAGCAATGCTTTCAGAAGTCTTAAAAGAGCAACACTCTGATGCGGAAACTGCAGAACCCGAACCACCAAAAAAGAAAATCAACCTTCTCCTGGTGGCATCTGACTCAGATAATGAAAATGAACATGCATTGGTCTGCTCTGCTTTGGATTGTTATCTAGCAGAACCCGTCATCAGCATGGATACATGTCCCTGGGAATGGTAGTTGAAGCATGAAGGGATATATGAATCTTTAGCACATCTGGCATATAAATACCTTGCGATGCTGGCTCCAACAGTGCAATTAGAATATCTGTTCTCACTTTCAGGTGACATTGTAAACAAGAAGCGGGCAGCATTATCTCCTGCAAATGTTAACAAACTTGTTTGTCTGAGTGATTGGCTGAACAAGAAGTAGGACTGAGTGGACTTGCAGGCTCTAAAGTTTTATTTTTATTTTTAATGCAGTTTTTTTACATAATTCTAAATTTGTGCATTCAACTTTCATGATAAAGAGATTGCACTACAGTACTTGTATTAGGTGAACTGAAAAATACAATTTCTTTTGTTTTTTTTTACAGTGCAAATACTTATAATAAAAAAATATAAAGTGAGTACTGTATATTTTGTATTCTGTGTTTGTAATTGAAATCAATATATTTGAAAATGTAGAAAACATCCAAAAGTATTTAAATAATTGGTATTCTGTTATTGTTTAACACTGTGATAATCATTCAATTTTTTTAATCACGATTAATTACAATTTTTTTTAAATCACTTGACAGCCCTGCTAAGGACCCTTACATTGAGACGATCTCACCCCAAGTTTCTACCTGTTTGAAACAGGAACTCATATGCAGCTGTAGTGTGATGATTGAAATCACTGCAGAGAAAGTAATCCCTCTGAACTGGATCCTGCAGTCATACATGGGCTTAACTTTACACATGTCAGTTGCCCCACTGGCTTCAGTAGGATAATTCACATGCATACAGTTAGGTTTACCATGCGTAGTTTTGCAGGACTGGGGTGGCAGGTAACTAGGACTCCATAAAGTACTTCTGTAGGTCAAAACCTACACCTTATACTCCCCCCTGAGAACAAATCAGAGGGCAGGGCAAGGTTAGAGAGCCCCAGTGTAATATGCTGTCTACCAGAAGTGCTGCATAATTCTTTTCTTCCTCTCTTTTTATGTCTGGTAGTTTGAAGGAATATCTTTCAACAACTCCTTGGTAAATTAGACAGGGGAGTAGAAATCGAAAGATATTTTATATCTCCCTTTTGTCACATTACATACACAGTCATACCTGTTTGTGTCTCCATGGTGCTGTGTACTTTGCAATTTCAGTGTTATTTAATAAGATATTTATACATTGTCCCCATGGTATGAACACCTCACAAATAACAGTGAATTAAACCTTGCAACACTCCTGGAGGTGTGTAGTATTAATCCCTAGCTGAGGAAATGGAGGCACAGACCAGCCCAAGGTCCCACTGGAAGTGTATGGTACAGATGGGAACAGAATGTAGATTGCCTCATTGACTGCCTTATGCCCTAACTATAAAACCACCCTTCCTCCATTTCACGCAGTCTGTATGGGGTGATAGTCTGTCTGCCTTTTCTGTGTTTTACTGTGGTACAGTTGGCTGCTAGTGAGCAGGTTTTATTTAGGCCCCTGGAAGCAGTCTAGCCCATTGTAATGATCTGTTGTATAATTTTTTTTCTAGTTATTTAAGTATTATTCAGACTTGGAAAGGGTTGTTTGCTCTGCTGTTGTGGAGACTTAATGTTGCTGAAGCTAAAAAGCATTGTTATATCAGAATTTAATGTGTGTTGATCAGGTTTTTGGATGAGGCCCCCTACTGCTTTGCATGGGAGGAAGTATGTGCTGTCTTGCTTGAGATAGCACCTGAAGCTTAGGTTTCAGAGTAGCAGCCATGTTAGTCTGTATCTGCAAAAAGAAAAGGAGGACTTGTGGCACCTTAGAGACTAACCAATTTATTTGAGCATAAGCTTTCGTGAGCTACATACAGCTCACTTCATCGAATGCATGCAGTGGAAAATACAGTGGGGAGATTTATATACACAGAGAACATGAAACAATGGGTGTTATCATACACACTGTAAAGAGAGTGATCACTTAAGATGAGCTAATATTACCAGCAGGAGAGGGGGGTGGGGGGGAAGAAAACCTTTTGTAGTGATAATCAAGGTGGGCCATTTCCAGCAGTTGACAAGAACGTCTGAGGAACGCGGGGGGGAGGGGCATGAAATAAACATGGGGAAATAGTTTTACTTTGTGTAATGACCCATCCACTCCCAGTCTCTATTCAAGCCTAAGTTAATTGTATCCAGTTTGCAAATTAAGTCCAATTCAGCAGTCTCTCTTTGGAGTCTGTTTTTGAAGTCTTTTTGTTGTTTTAATGCGACTTTTAGGTCTGTAATCGAGTGACCAGAGAGATTGAAGTGTTCTCCGAGTGGTTTATGAATGTTATAATTCTTGACATCTGATTTGTGTCCATTTATTCTTTCAAAAACAGACTCCAATGAGAGACTGCTGAATTGGAATTAATTTGCAAACTGGATACAATTAACTTAGGCTTGAATAGAGACTGGGAGTGGATGGGTCATTACACAAAATACAACTATTTCCCCATGTTTATTTCATGCCCCCCCCCCCCCACTGTTCCTCAGACGTTCTTGTCAACTGCTAGAAATGGCCCACCTTGATTATCACTACAAAAGGTTTTCTTCCCTCCCCCCCACCCCGCTCTCCTGCTGGTATTAGCTCATCTTAAGTGATCATTCTCCTTACAGTGTGTATAACGCCCATTGTTTCATGTTCTCTGTGTATATAAATCTCCCCACTGTATTTTCCACTGAATGCATCCGATAAAGTGAGCTGTAGCTCACGAAAGCTTATGCTCAAATAAATTTGTTAGTCTCTAGGGTGCCACAGGTACTCCTTTTCTTTTCACCTGAAGCTCAGTGTCCGTTTTTGCACATTCATATGTAAGGCTGACTGCCATTGTTTTCCCCTTTGGCCATCATTGCAGGAGTTCATTTCCATGTATAGTATGTTGTGAGAAGTTATAACACACGAGTTAATTAAATAATTTAAGCAGTTATCGCTACTCGGTTTCTCAGCATTCTTTGGATCTGTGTTCCTTAACTGAAGTACAAACTGGAGAATTATTATAAATTTGAGTTTTATAAGCCAACCTCTCTTTTAAAGCAAATAAGAAATCACAGCAAACTAAATGTGGTTAAATGATAGTGTTCACAACATCAAAATTGAACTCAACATGGAACGTTATGCTTTTCATGAGATAATAAAGCAGATCGATTAATTCACAATTTTAACATAATCTTGTTTCAAAGGCAGACTTCCCTAGTTTTACACTAGTCTGGGCAGGTGATTTTTGGTATCAATGTGAAACTATGGTTCTTTAAGCTTGATTTGAGATAACTCCATTGGCAGATAAATATAGATCCTTAAGGGACTATTGATGTCATTTCAGCTAAACAATTCTAAGTGGAACTTAAAAAAAATTTAGAGAAGCTTCTTAATTACCAAATAATTGTTTTATCCAGGTGACACTCATAGACAAGCTTTACCACAAACACACACACAAGATTATCAAATTATTAAATATTAAATATCAAATATAATATGCAGGTAATTATCTGGAAGCTTTTGTAATTTCTCTGGAATTTCACCAACATGGAAAGCTCTTGCCTTAGTTTAAACAACAGCTGAAATAGTGGTAAAATCTTCAGCTTGCAAGCCAATTCAAAGCTTTTTCCTCTTTTAAGAAGCTGTCAATTCTCTTGATCACAAAATCTGTATGATTTTTAGACTGAGCTCTCAGAAACACTCTGGGTTTTGCACAGCTAATTTTTGCTTTAGGGAAGCATAGTTTTCTGTTCTAAATAGTATGAAGCTTAGTTAGTGTAATGAGTTTCTCCAGCATCAATGCTTTCTATTGAGTTAGTGATTCAGTATAACTAAACTAAACATGTTCGTGAAATACAAGTGCACGTTATACATTTTAGTCATTCAGAGGGTTTTAACTCAGGTTTATGCTTTCTGAGAAGCACGTAGTCTAGCCATAACCAAGTCATCGTTGGGTAAACAACACATTGTGTTTTTATAAAAGTAATTTTGCTGGTTTTCAGTTAGAACTGCGGTGAAGCTCAGTTCTCTAGCTCAGCTTCTCAGTTGTCTTTCTCTGGACTGATAAAGTTAATTCAGGTGATTCACTATAGGGATTATGACAGCTATGGTCTTATTCTTTTTCCAGCTTCACAGTGGTCTTCCTAGGATAGGACTTTAAAAGACAGAGTTAATAGAATGCTCAGGATAGACAGGATTTTAGCTAATACAAAGCAAGGGGGCACTCTAGCTAGCCAATGACAGTCCAGCTTACAGTCTCTCTCAGCCAGGTGTTTTGGCTTTTGGGAAGCAGACCAGCAGATTGAACACAACGGCATCTCCACTCCCCGCCCCCCCTTCTGCTGGGCAATGGTGCCTGGTTCTCTTTTTGGCAAAGACTTGAAATTTCCACCCAGGATATGAGTTATGTCCTTTCTGCTCATCCAGGGAGAGAAAGAGGCATCATCTTTATGGCTTCTTGCAACTTTGTCTAGAAAACTACAGTTTCGTTGTTCAAACCACCTTGCACTATACCGATATGTGTAATAGGAATTTGATAATAGGGAGGTTCATGGAAGTAATTAGGTCATTGTTTTGCCCCCAATTTCTTTTTGTAATGGTTCTGACACTTCTCATCTCCAGCAAGGCTCATTTCTCTTGAATCACCTTTTTTTGCTCTCACTGGGTTGATCTGCAGTTGACACAAGCAGTTTCCCCAAAACAGAACAGATTTTGCTGATCAGGAATTTGGTTGTATGGGAAGACGCTGTAACCACTGGAGTTGCAGATTGGCCTCTGTCAGGTGACATGATATTAGATCAGTGAAACAAAGCTTAAGTCAGATGACTGTAACTAGGAAATGAAATTTGAGTCTCTCACCAGCACAACGTGTTACAGTGCTGATGGGGAAATGGTGGGCAAACGACATCAAAATTATCTTATTTTTTCAATTCAAAATTTTGATTGAAAACTTGTAGAAAAGTTGAAATCTGGAAAAAAAAAATCGATTAGCAGTAGGATCACACTCTTTTCCAGGAAATCATGAAATATCTCTCTGTTCTCTAGCTCCAAACTTTCAGGACCAGATTTTCAAACTACTTTTCCATTTTGGCAAGCACACTTTTCCACTTGCAATTAATTGTTCCCACAACTTTGTACCTGTAATTCATTCAAATTTTTTCCTGGCAATGCATTGTGGATGCAAAAGAGAAAGTCTGCTTTAAAAATCAGGCCCTCCCTATGCCTTTGATCTTATTTGAACTGTGGGTGAAACTCTTTAAGTTTAGTTATCTTGGGTGTTACTTTTTACAATCTCACTTTCAGATAGATGTGAGTTCTAACTGGGTGGTATCCCCTTAATAAGCACTCAAGGTAAAACTCCACCCTGTGCAAAGGGCCAGCACAAACGTTATAAACCACTTCAATGCCACTTAAATCTTATTGTGAGGGCTGAACTGTAACTATTATTAAGTAGAACATAGGCCTTCTGCATAGGTGGGAATTTCACCCATAGAAAATAAATGAAACTTTAGTCCCAATGAGTTTTCATGAAGGTTCAGCTTGGATGGGCCAAATAGAATATTAGTGTTAAATTTGAGTTTCCTAAATTAATCACTTTGTGCATTTGAACTCAACAGTAATGTAAGTTTATGCAACATAAAGCTTATTTACATATAAATACTATGGTTCAGCTCTCAATGTATCTCAGGGGCCAGCTTTCCAATGGTATAATGTGCTGTGCAAGTAAGAGATAAGCCAGTGGTTTCAGCCCGGATTCGAGTGGAAATATGAAATTTCATACTTTAAACAAAAAAACATGTACAACTTTCAAAAGATACTGTATATTCATGTGTTAAAATAAGTTCTGTTGTTTTAAATTTCACATAGCATTGATGATAATTTCTGTTGTTTCTGTAGTGTCTGCAGGTTGGTTAAGTTTTTATTTCTGACTAAACATCTGACTGGTAATTTTTACAGGTTTCTTTTTCTCTTTATAGATATATGGTAAACAAAATGAAGCCGGCTACAGCACATTATTTGATTCTGAGTTCTTTTTGTCTGGCTTTTTATTCTGGGTGTACTTCCTATAAATTCCTGGAAAGGTAAGTTATCAGTTGGAAAAGTTTCTAATATCTTACCAAGTTTGTTTGTTTGTTTTAAGCAGAACTTAAACTTCTGGAATATGATTGGGCTTTTATCAATGTGAAATTTTTGTTTCATCTTGTGCTATTTTTGATGCACTATATTTTTGTCTCCGTCTGCATAATGATTCTGTATGAGTGAAGCTGCTTTTTTATGCCTAAGAAAAATTGAGGTTTACATTTATTAATATGGCAGAAAGAAGAAGGGAGGAAACTTGTTGCACTTAAAAACATTACAGTTTTGCTTCATAATTAATTTCAATCTAGTATTTGTTTTAGGCAGTGCCTATAAATAATAAATGGAAAACCTGCTCAATTTTGTGTTAATTTAGCTAATGAAACTTACAAGTTTTTAAGCATGGCCACTGTGACAAAGTGAAGTGTGTAATGAAAATGTTTTAGGCCTGAGAGAGACCCATTTTTTTGCTGTGTTAGAGGTGGTGGTAGATGTCATCATTTCAGTTAGTAAAGGTCCAAGGTGCTTTTGACTCACTAGCTAAGCGTATATTTACATTTAAAATGCTACAGCAACGCAGGTACACCATTGTAGCACTTCAGTGAAGACACTACCTACACTGACGGGAGAGATTCTCCCATCAGCCTAGGTAATCCACCTCCCCGAGAGATGGTAGCTGGGTCCACGGAAGAATTCTTCCGTTGACCTAGTCCTGGCTACACCAGGAAATAGGTCAGTAAAGCTACATTTCTCAATTGTGAATTTTTCACACCCTTGAGATACTTAGCTTACCAATATCCATTCCTAGTGCAGGCCAGGCCTAAAAGATGCATAGTTCCAAGTGGCAGGTGATGGCTCAGTTTTTCTGCAATTTTTGTAGAATTATCTGTTATGTGAATAGGTCACATTCAGAGAGGGAAAGTATTGTGTTATCAAGCCTAAATCCATTGTATGGTTTCTGATATTCTGGGGGAGGGATTCAAATTCGTGACATTTTCTCTGAGAAGTAGGTTGATAGTTCTCCAGAATGGGAACCGTGTAGGTTCCAAGTGAGTTCCGTTACCTACAGGGTTAGGCGGCCGGGGGCGGGGGAGGGTTGTTTTAAGCAGCTGAGCCCCTTTGTGGATCTAGCCCTAAGTTAATAAAGTTTTTGAGTGTGTGTGTGTGTGTGTGTAGGGGGTAATGTTTAGTTTTGGAATAATTAGTATAGTAGTGGAACTTTTTCAATTTTAAGTCCAGAAAAAGAGAGTTTTGGTGAGTGTGTTCTTCTAAAACAATCACTATGATCACACAGGAGTTGTGAAAATGACATGACTGTAAGGGCAATGCACTTACACAACGGATTCACATTGAGGAATAACGCCAGGGCTTGAGGCAGTGAAGCAAACCTCCGAGGCTAACAATTTTAGGACTCATATAGCACAAGGACATCTTTCAACTGTTGCAAAATATTAGAAGATCCAACAATAACTGTGTAATATAGGGCCAGTTAGTGATCTCAGTAGGAAAATGTTGATGGTTATTATTGTGGCTACGCCTGATTTGTTCCACAGCAGTTGAGTATAATGAATTAAAAACCACACATAAATCTGACTATCTGTTTAGTTGGTTACATTTTATCTCTTAATAGTGCAAAACCACGGATGGACAGATTCAGAATTTGGGATAACTTCATGACAACTTAAAACCATAAATATATTTTCCTGCTTCTCCTTGCTTGGGGAAAATTTACTTTCTCAAATAATTGCTCTATTTCCTTTTTCTCTTTCACATTTGTTCTAACAAAGAGCATATGACAAATTGGCTGTTCACAAGAGGTTAACAGCCATTTACTCTGTCCGTTCTGCAGGTCATTCTGTTGGCTTGAGCAAATGGAGGTTTTGTAAGGTTTTAATATATACTTTATTTAACAACTACTGTTATACATGACAACCCTTTTTCTGCATTATTTTCGCCCCCTGTTTCTCAAAGCATCTGCAGCTATCCAGTCTCCATACTCCACTCTTTTCCTATCCCACTCCCACCCCAAATTGTTAACCTAGGAGTTTTGCTTTCACTGCCTCAAGCCCTGGCTTTACTCCTCAATGTGAATCTGTTGTGTAAGTGCATTGCTCTTACAGTCAGTCATTTTCACAACTCCTGTGTGATCATAGTGATTGTTTTAGAAGAACAGTTACAGTTTCAAGAATGCTGTCCACATCCTTTTCAAATAACACAGCCATGAAGAAAAATTAAGAGATTCCTGGCACCCTCTAAATGTGTTTTTATTGCCATAAGAAAAAGTCCAAGTGCTCTTCTAAATCTAATAAAATTATTCTCATTCTCTGTGTATTAAATAGAAAATCTATAGGGAGATGAGCTGCCATCAGTGGAATTTGTTTAGCAATAAGTAATATATTAATAACAATCAAAACCCACTATTTCTTTGTGCACTGCCTATTACAGCAAGTCCCTACTTCTTGTTTGGGATCGTTAGGTACAGCTGCAATAGAAAGAATAAATAATAGTTGATTAAAATCAATGTGTGTTACACTACTTAGCAATGTGTCATTAGTTGGAGGAGTTTTGCTTTTTGAAATGCATGAGGAAAATAAATGTCTCATCTCTTCTTCTCCAGTGAGCACCATCCTCGCACTTGGAAAAAGCTGTTCCTTGTTCATCACTGGCCCGTGACCGTATGCAAGGTGAGCTTTGTTTTGTTTTTGTTTTTTTAAAATATATCATTGTAAATGTAACTGTGTAGATCATGCTGTATATAGCTGAAAATAAGATGAACCTAGTATTGTAGCAAAATCCCTGAAATATTTAAACCTACTTACATTTTGGTAGGTTTCAGAGTAGCAGCCGTGTTAGTCTGTATCCGCAAAAAGAACAGGAGGACATGTGGCACCTTAGAGACTAACACATTTATTTGAGCATAAGCTTTCGTGAGCTACAGCTCACTTCATCAGATGCATTCAGTGGAAAAAACTGCATGCATCCGATGAAGTGAGCTGTAGCTCACGAAAGCTTTTGCTCAAATAAATTTGTTAGTCTCTAAGGTGCCACAAGTACTCCTTTTCTTTTTACATTTTGGTACTCTCACTTCTCTGACTATTGGTTAATATCTGTTTGTCACATCTGTCAGTGGCTGGAGAGCAACAGTAAAGAACAAAAAGAAAAGGAGTACTTGTGGCACCTTAGAGACTAACTAATTTATTTGAGCATAAGCTTTCGTGAGCTACAGCTCACTTCATCAGATGCATACCGTGGAAACTGCAGCAGACTTTATATATACACAGAGAATATGAAACAATACCTCCTCCCACCCCACTGTCTTGCTGGTAATAGCTTATCTAAAGTGATCATCAGGTGGGCCATTTCCAGCACAAATCCAGGTTTTCTCACCCTCCACCCCCCACACAAATTCACTCTCCTGCTGGTGCTAGCCCATCCAAAGTGACAACTCTTTACATAATCAAGTCGGGCTATTTCCTGCATAAATCCAGGTTCTCTCACATCCCCCCCACCCCCATACACACACAAACTCACTCTCCTGCTGGTAATAGCTCATCTAAACTGACCACTCTCCAAGTTTAAATCCAAGTTAAACCAGAACATCTGGGGGGGGGGGGAGGGAAAAAACAAGAGGAAACAGGCTACCTTGCATAATGACTTAGCCACTCCCAGTCTCTATTTAAGCCTAAATTAATAGTATCCAATTTGCAAATGAATTCCAATTCAGCAGTTTCTCGCTGGAGTCTGGATTTGAAGTTTTTTGTTTTAAGATAGCGACCTTCATGTCTGTGATTGCGTGACCAGAGAGATTGAAGTGTTCTCCGACTGGTTTATGAATGTTATAATTCTTGACATCTGATTTGTGTCCATTTATTCTTTTACGTAGAGACTGTCCAGTTTGACCAATGTACATGGCAGAGGGGCATTGCTGGCACATGATGGCATATATCACATCCACCAATGTGATATATGCCATCATGTGCCAGCAATGCCCCTCTGCCATGTACATTGGTCAAACTGGACAGTCTCTACGTAAAAGAATAAATGGACACAAATCAGATGTCAAGAATTATAACATTCATAAACCAGTCGGAGAACACTTCAATCTCTGTGGTCACGCAATCACAGACATGAAGGTCGCTATCTTAAAACAAAAAAACTTCAAATCCAGACTCCAGCGAGAAACTGCTGAATTGGAATTCATTTGCAAATTGGATACTATTAATTTAGGTTTAAATAGAGACTGGGAGTGGCTAAGTCATTATGCAAGGTAGCCTGTTTCCTCTTGTTTTTTTCCTACCCCCCCCCCCCCAGATGTTCTGGTTTAACTTGGATTTAAACTTGGAGAGTGGTCAGTTTAGATGAGCTATTACCAGCAGGAGAGTGAGTTTGTGTGTGTATGGGGGTGGGAGGGATGTGAGAGAACCTGGATTTATGCAGGAAATAGCCCGACTTGATTATGTAAAGAGTTGTCACTTTGGATGGGCTAGCACCAGCAGGAGAGTGAATTTGTGTGGGGGGGTGGAGGGTGAGAAAACCTGGATTTGTGCTGGAAATGGCCCACCTGATGATCACTTTAGATAAGCTATTACCAGCAAGACAGTGGGGTGGGAGGAGGTATTGTTTCATATTCTCTGTGTATATATAAAGTCTGCTGCAGTTTCCACGGTATGCATCTGATGAAGTGAGCTGTAGCTCACGAAAGCTTATGCTCAAATAAATTGGTTAGTCTCTAAGGTGCCACAAGTACTCCTTTTCTTTTTGCGAATACAGACTAACATGGCTGTTACTCTGAAACCTGTCAGTAAAGAACAAGTGGCTGGTGCCATATCTATAACAGTCTATAACCTAAGAGGTAGCAAATAAGCCTGAATAGTAAAACATACAATGAGCAATGTCTCCTTACAATCTTAGGCTCATACGGCTATGTGACCCTAGCTCAGTTTAGTGGGCAGTTACTCACATGAGTGGTTTCACTGAAGCCAATGAACTATTCATAAGAATACCTGTCTACCAGTTTGATTAAGCTTCACAATATTGGCTCTATTGTTTTAGTGCTGCCATTAAATATGGATTAAACTGAAAAATTCAATATCTATCACTGATATGTCCTAGCAGGAATCCTAGAGCAGAGTTTCCAGTTATGTTTGTAAAGTACTTAGCAAATAAATGTACTTCCCTTCAGTTCCAATGACATTAAATTCTGATAAGTGGTGTGGTTTTTTTTAGCGAGGTAGAACACACAACAGAGATCTGCTTTTTTGCTGTTGACTTCAAATTTAAGTGTACATTTTTGGGGGTTCTTAATCAGATTGGCTGAGGCAGGGCCATATCATCCTGTGATTAATAAAGAGAAGCCTCAGCTAGGGCAAGTGTTGCTGCTACACATCTGGAACTGCAATTCTGAGAGAGACACGTTTAAACCTCTAACTGTAGCATTCAGGGGCACGCTCTCTTGTTTAAGGGCAGCTTTTTAGGCTTGTCAATCCTGTTTCAGGAATCAAATTAGGGAGAAAAGCAGCAACAGTAAAGCATATACAGTGTTAAACTCTTCTGAAGGGAGCAGGATTTGTGCTCTACATTATTCTAAATTGGGAGGCAATGATAGTGGAGAACTTAACACCCAATTTTTCAAACATGATAGCTGATTTCGGGTGTGCAATTTGAGGTGTATTAGGTCTGATTTTCAGTGCTATTGGGTGCACACAGTTCACAGTTACTTCAGTTGGACTTCTGCTGGTGTGCACTTCTGAAAATCTGGTGACAAGTCAAGCATGCAAACAGGCAACCCAAAATCAAGGGCCTTGCAAATCTGTGGTTAAATGAATGAGACATGCAGACTATCAAAGTAAAATATTGTACTACTATGCATCCAGCCTGGCTGCTGCTTTTAATTCTAGAACTCTGATGTTGGCTGAAATGTTATATAATTTTGTGAGCTAAAATGGAGAAGCTGCAAGCAGGATAACTGAAGACTTGGCAAGCTACCAAAAAGGCAGGCTCTCTTAACAGTAATCCTTACAGTGTCTCATGTGGGGAGAGGAATCAAGATGGATACAAATGTATCTAATGGACTAGAGTAACTCTGAAAGAATATAATCGTTAGGTGACATTTTGCACCGTTTCACAGCCTTGAGTGCTTACAGAAATCTTAACTTCAGTTCCACCTCCTATGCTTTCAAAACTTACAGATTCCTGTTAATATCATATAATATATGGAAGCAGGGTTCCAGAATGCAACTGTAGTTGGTTTAAAAAAATATAGTCTTTTAAGCTGCAAAACAATCTGTTTCTTAAGTGTCTTTCAAATGATTTCCATATTAATTTCAGGAGGAAAATATCACTAGCATTGTGCCTTCTTTTTTCAAAATGATTAATAAACTACTCTAATGACTTTAAAAAAAATGGATACAGGAGATTACAACACAGATTCCATCATTCATGTTTGTAAAGTGCTTTGATGATAAAATACTCTATGCAAATGCTTATTATTATTAGGTTATATTTCGTGACGGGGTGGAGTGGGTGGGTGTGTCTGTCAGTCAGTCAGCCGCTTTGCTTATATGCAAAGCTGTCTCCAGGAGGTTAAACTCTTGCTTGGTGTGCAGATGATGTTCGTCTTTATTCCTACTGGCTATGGTTGTTTGTGTGTACAGAAAAGATATTCAGAAAACTGTAACTCTTTCTTTAGTAAATTTAAAATGAAATCTGCTTCATGATCACTTTGAAATCCCTTGAGTAGAGTGTTCATGCTAGAAATAGAGAGCATACATACCTTAGATGTTTATACATTTTAAGCTACTACTTTATTGTGTATGGTAACTTTTGAGTAAGTCTTTTCTCTGACTTGGTTAGATTGGACATTGTATGTTTAGGTTTTCTGTTACTAGAGTAAGGCCAGAAGGAACCATTAGGGTCATCTAGTCTTACCTCCTGCATAACACAGGCTTTAGAATTTCATCTAGTGATTCCTACAGTGGAGAAAATTGTTCTTCCTGCTCCATAAGTGAACATTATTGAGCCCAGTAACTTGTGGGTGAACTGAGACCATCTCTTTTAGAAAGGCATCCAATCTCAATTTAATGACTCTGAGTGATGATGAATTTACCGCTTCCCTTAATAAATTGTTCCAATGATTTATCAACCTCCCATAAAAGTAGTACTTTGTGCAGTGAATTTTTTTCTAATGTCAACTTCCTATTACTTAGCCTTTGAGTCACTTGTGACACTTGACGACTGCTATTTCTAATGCAGAGGTAATGTTATAAACTACTTAAAAGCCGTGCAAAGCCATGCTAGAGAACTCTTTAAAGGAGGGGTGTGCTGTTACACTTGACTCGTCATCATGGCTTCAGTGGTGGTGAGCTACTTTATGATTCTGTAGGAGTTAGAGACCTCTGGGGAGGGTAAGACTTGGACTGTTCAATCCTAAGGGATTGTGAACCCTGTTAGATGGGAACGGGAACAGTTGAATAGGAAAAGTTGTGTCCATCCCACCCTCCCCGCTGGAGAACATGGGCTAAGGAACTGGCGGAGGGAAGCTTTAATGACTGTGCCTGTCTTTCTTGGAGTTGATTAGGGTCTGTTTTAAGTGCTGCCTGTTCTGAAGATACTTATTCTCGCACACAGTAGCAGTAGCTGCCTTGCCGTCCATTGGGAATATGGAGGCCTGTGGAGAGGGGGAATCTGTTGTAAAAGTTTGGTCATTCAGTCTCTGTCTCGGTGAGCAAGGGGAGAACAGGAAGGAAGATAAAGGCCAGCTCTGCCTAAATCTGTTTTGCATCACACATAGCAACTGAACAAATGAGAGAGCCACCTAGGAGAAAGGAAACAGGGAGGACTGTTCAACAGAATACATTGGTGACACAGTGGTGCTGCAAGACCACGAACACCAACTCCAGGGCAGACCACTAAAAACCGGGGCACAAACCCCTAATTGGCTGTGAGTTTTAAACATAAATTTTACCAACTAACTGCACCAAGTGCAAACTCCTCAGATACTTTTACAGCCTTAACATGGAGTCACGGACAGTCCCCTTGGGTACTCCATCTGTCTTGCCATCCAGGTGAGTCTATCTCTGTGATAGATGGTCCCTTACACTGAGAATCACAGGAATAATCAGGTTACTCCTAATCCCAATGGACCAGTCACTTACCCCAGGTCAATTGTGCTTTAGATCTCACACCAGAGACAACACTTGTAAACTAATATGAAGTCCTATTAAATAGGCAAAGGAAACTAGAGAGTTATTTACGAGGATAAAGCAAGCAAATATAGGCTCTGTCTACATTGCAATTATACACTCATGGCTGGTTCATGCCAGCTGACTCAGGCTCGTGGGGCTGTTTAATTGTGGTGCAGATGTTTGGGCTTGGGCTGGAGCCCGGGCTCTGGAACCCTCCCACCACAATTAATTAATTAATTAACACCACAGTTAAACAGTGCTGACTCAGGCTAAGTGGCTGTTTAATTGTGGTGTTAATTAATTAATTGTGGTAGGTTTTTAATTGCAGTGTAGACCTATCCAGACACACAAATGAGTTAGTCCTAGGTTTCAAAAGGTAATATAGACGTCTATAATCAGCAAGCTCTGTTTGTCCTTCAGGGCTAACCCGGGCTAAGCATCTGGGGAATCTCTTGCCTAGACCTAGAAACACCTTGCCCCGTGGAGTCCAAGCAGCATAGAGATCCTTAATTCCTTTAGTTTGGGGGTTTTATCCCCCTCCTGTCATGTACTCTCAGCTGGTGGGAGGAGTCCGCTTGCATGACTGATCTTCATGAGGAGGAGAGCAGAACAACAAGGAGTATCTTTAGTCCTGTTGACTGTTGTTGACTCTTTCTCACTCCAGATGGAGGGAGTTTCCAGTTGTAAGATCCAACCCTAGCTCACCTGGTATCAATAGGTCTCCTCTTTCAGGAGGGATGTAACAATTTCTGTAGAAGAGCATCTCTTCGCATTAATTAATGTCCCTCTCCTGTATGCAGTCACAGAAGCTCACAATACAACTGCTCATAGTATTACATTACAGTTTGGAACACAGATATTACAAATAAGATTAATGCATGCAGCAACTCCCAAGCATTCAATAATCTAAACACTTTTGCTTGTAATTCGAACAATTTCACTTTCTTCTATGTATTTGTGTCCCAATTATTCTATCAATTTTAACCCCCAAGTAAGCCAGACAGATTCCAGCTATGTATTTATCAGTGTTAACTTGAGACACAGGGACCTTAGCATGAGCTGGCGCCTGGCCTGCCAGCATCACACATTTCATTTAAGAATTAAACCAGTTTTCAATAATACTGATGTGACCAAAGACGTTCCTAGCTACAGGGTTTTAGTTGTGACTGCATATTAAAGGTTACAAGGGAAAAGAGACACATCAAATAAAATAGAGTTCAGCAATCAAAGAGATTATGGTGAACCACTACTGTTTTGATCTGTCATTAGACCAAAAAGTCCTTGCTTATGGACACCAAATAAAGTTGTTCCTTTGTTCCTCTGTTAGTCATGTGCAAACGTTGCTGTTTCTAAAAATGAGTTGGCTTGATGGCCTGCAATTTTGTCAGTTATGCCTTTCATATTTCCAAAATTATTTAACTGTACAGTTGCCTTTACAATATGTTCCTTCTCCGAACTGGATAGTCTCATGTTTGTACTGGTATTACCCAAGAGACGTGTCCCACTATAGATACATTTTACCCCGAGCACTAACATATTGTATTCTTCTGAAGGAGCTTGTTCTAAAACCAGGTTACCTCAGAGCAATTGTGTTATAGTTCTACACATTTGTGAGTATTTCCAGCAAATGTTTGCTTGCAAGTGGCCTGTGCTACATATTCATGAGAGTCTGGTACGCATTCTGAAGCAAGACAGCTCTTTTCCCATACGGTCCCCATAAACAATCCGTTTATATTGTAAATACAGAAACCAGCCTCTAGTTTCCATTTTCACGGTTGCTTTGGTGTTTAGCCTGGATGAACTTATTTTTGTAGGATCTATATAAATGAAGTAGATTTTCATTTAAACTAGATCTATTTATTGTAGGTACTTATATGGCCTCCAATACCATGGTCTCTGAGCACCTCACAGTCTTTAATATATGTATCCTCACAACACCTTATTAAGTAGGGCAGTGCTATTATCCTCATTTTACAGACAGAGAGCTGATCCATAGAGATAACTTGCCTGGGATCACATAGGAAGTATGTGGCAGAACTGGGAATGAACCCAGGTCTCCCAAGGATAGGGCTCTAACCAAAACACCATTCTTCCTTTCATTATAAGAAGTGATAAATGGGCCCTCTGGTGGCTTGCATCTGCATTCTGTTTTTTCTAATACAATTTGAAAGATGGCTTATCATACCAAATTGGACTGTGCTATACAGTCTGATTGCCAAATGGTTGTCAAAATGTTCAAAACCATATTACTCCTCTTCTTCCACACCAGCTACAATATCTCAAAGAACCACAAATCTGAAGAAGAACAGGAGTACTTGTGGCACCTTAGAGACTAACAAATTTGTTAGTCTCTAAGGTGCCACAAGTACTCCTGTTCTTTTTGCAGATACAGACTAACACGGCTGCTACTCTGAAATTTGGAGGGTAATATAGAGAAAGTGAAATCTGTAAAAGGTACTGTGCCAGCCGGTTCCGTGTGGTGGGCCTGATTCTCTGGTACCTTGCACCTTGTCCATTTACGCCCGTGCAAAGTTTGGTCTAAAATGCTACCAGATCAGAATTCATCACTTGCTTGCACTCAGTTTGCATAGGTTTCAAATGATTACATAAAGTGCAAGCCAATTGAATTTCAAGCTTGGCGAGTTTAATCTATGTTCATACCAGTCTAAGAAGGACTTCAATTTGAAGGACTGTCAGCCTTTGATGTTTGACTTTCTAGGAATTTCAAAGCAAGGTCTTGATCCAGCTTGCACTGAAGTTAATGGAAGTTTTGCCATTTACTTTGATGGGAGCTGGAGCAGGCCCCAAGTGATTAGCAAACTTAGTGGTCCGAGCTATTTAGGTGTAAGACAGTGTTCCAGGGAAGATGTAACTTACTGGATAGTTGTTAATTGACTGTATTTCTGGTTTAGCTATCTGAAGTGTTTTGATTTCACAAAGCCTGCCTCCTTTGAGGAGTGATGTTGTTTGTCTAATTTCCCTTCTGGAATAAAACAGACACTGGGTTTAATTGCAGTCTAGTGACTAGACTATGTAGGTGGCAAGATCAGAGAGAAAGGAAACTGACACACATGGAAAGCAAATGTGAAAAATTAAGCATGCTGTTTTATGCATGGCATAGGACTGTAGAAGCCTAGACAATTAGTGAGGTTACAGGTCTTATTCTGTCCTTTTGCAGTGTCAGAGCTACTGCTCTGACAAAGTGAATCACACTAATTAGGGCAGAAAGGAACATGCAGAGATTAAAAGAGAAGCTAGTAGGGAGTTTTTGTTTTTTAATAAATATTTACATTAAACTATTTGGTGGTCACCAGGCAGAATACTGGGGAAAGTACCAAAAAAAAAACAACAACACCGAGTCTGACAGTCTGAGCATCAAGTTTAGTGACTGATCAGAAGCATATAACCTACACTAAAAACAACATTTTATGCACAGAGTGCTCTGCTCTCCCTGTGTAATCAAGGGCTTTGCTTCCTTTCAGGCGGGGAACCCCAACCCTTATAGAATAGTAATAATCCGTGCTCAAGCAAGTAGTTAAACTGAAATCAGTGGGATTAGCATTTGCAAGACTGGGCCCCCATATTATATTTACTGAGCTCCTCGGAAGTTCCTGTATGTACTGTTCTGCCCTTTCTTTAGTAGTTAATGATTTGCATAGGTAATTATTTGGGCTGTGAATGCTGGTGTGGTTCTCTCCCTTAATCATTGTATGTCTACTTGGATTTTGCAGCCAATAGAGTGCTGCATACTGCAGCAATCTGGATTGTCTCATTTTCTTTATACCAGCAGTAGAATTGCTCATGCACATGTACAAACTGTTGCTGGCGTCAGGGCCGGAGAACATTTTTGTTCCCCCAAGAGTGGCTTAGCTGGCTAACCAGTGGAGTGGGGGAAAAAATGGCACAGCGGAGTGGTGCTCCCCGGGAAGTTGGCGCCCAGGGCAACTGCCCTACTGGCCTGCCCCTAAAACTGGCCCTGGTTGATTTCACTAACACACGATTGATGGCTTCTCACAGTGTTTAAAATCTCTTTGTTTTGGGAACTCTGAACTCAATGAAAAGGTTTGTTGATCTCTTAAATAGGAAACTGCTGGGAACTGCAGGCCAGATCCTCATTAGATCTAAATAAGACTTAGTCCATCTAAGTGAATGCAGCTATGCTGATTTACACTAACTGAGAATCTGCCCTTGATCTTTCATATATTTGTGCTGCTCATTCAGCATGTTTGTGGTAAGTCCCTTAGCATGCTCTAATGCTTTTAAACCCAAAATGGATTAGGTGATCTCTGACTAAGCAATGTATTTAATAAATGTTATGGACTTTTGCTTTCTTTAGATGAGTGAGAATGACTGCAAAGATCCCCCCCAGTACTGGACAATTCATGGACTATGGTAAGAACTTAAAACAAATCCTTTAAATTTCAAATTGGAAAAGAATGCCATGTTGGTCTAAATTCAGTGCTGGCGTAAGCAGGTACAGCCTCATTGACTTCAAGTGTAAGGGCTTGATTCTCCTCCTATTTACACCAGTGTAAATCAGAAATAACTTCATTAGAGACAATGCTGTAAAATGAGTGTGAGGGAGAGAAGAATCAGACTCTTAAACTTGGGGTCAGTGGATCTGTAACCACTTAAAGCAGCATTGAATCTGGTCTATATCCTTATTAAAAAGGACACAGTTGTGCTTCTCTGCTATGGAATTGTAAATCTGAAAGAGCCATGGCACAAAATTCTGGCTCCATAGAATCCTATGGCAAAACTCCTATTGATTTCAGAGGAGCAGAGTTTCACCCATGGTGTGTGATTTGAGCACAGGACTGGAAGCCAGTGTGGGCTCTAATCCCATCTCTGGCATTGACTCCTGCAGTAGCTTTGGGTAAATAACTCAATGATTTTTTTTTTTAATCTGTAGAATGGGGATGATAGTATTTAGGCATTACAGGGATTAGTTATTTGATTCTAGACAGGAGTTTGAGGAAGAAAATGTTCATATTATGTTTCATAAGGATTAATACACAGACTTTCAGCAACCGTAAACAGCTCCAAACTGTGGTCTGTAATCCAACTAAAAACATCACCAGCCTTGATACAGAATGTAACTTCTCTAAAATTTGTCTTATCAGTTTTATTTCTGCTTTCACTGCAAATTTACCCAGTAGTATGCGTATTAAAATGCCTAATTTATAGTGTGTTTCTCCTTGAGTTGCTTGGTCTTATAGTTTTATGTAGGCATTTTCAGTAGCATAGCTCACAGAGGTTTAAGAGCATGACATATGACTTCTAATTTTGATAATAAAGTCACATCAATTTAAGATATGTTTTCCCCTTTTCCATTCCACCTATGGAAGGGAAATTATGAGAAACTTTTGAAGTGTGTTTCTAATCTGAAAAATGACTTTGTAAACATGGGATTGAGGGTTACATGTTTGTTGTGTCCAAACAATTCCCTTATTAAATGTGCTCGTTTACAAGTACAAATGCTGTTTTCTATCAGTCCTACAAATTCACTTGGGTTCTGAAGGCCCAATTGTCTACTCGTGTAAATCAGCTAAAGTCAATGGATTTACATGAGTGTAAAACCAGTGCAAGTTGAGAATCAGGCACTGAGAGTCAAGATCGGTTTTTTCCTTTTCCAATAATAAAAATCCCACAGGTCCAGTTAAGCCCTCTGTATTCCCATTCCATTGTCTTCAAATTATGCTCTTGTTGGTGCCTCAGCAACCAGTTACCATCAAAGGAATCTTCGCAGATACAACTGGTCAGATCTTAGTATACAATACTGATGATGATGCATCCAAAAACAGACTTCAGTTCATTCTCTCTTCTTTGTTCTGTTGGCTCTGCAGAATTAAAAAGAATAATAATAAAAAATATACTTTGTCTGCTGATCTGACTTTGAATACATACAAGGAGCAGACCTGAGGAGGGAGAAGTTATCATGTTTTCCACAGGCAGTTTTCAGAGCAAAATCCCATTTATCACTGAATTTGTGCCTTTGCAGGTTCAAGTCAGACCTCTAACTTACCAGGATGTTTAGTTTTTTGTGCTGGTGGATGCTCCACTGAGTCTTAGGAATGTGTAGCGTATTGAAATATAAGAACCCTGCTCTAGCCAGAGACCAAAGTTGTATAGTTCAGTACACTGCTGACATATGATCTCACATGCTTGGTGATCATGTGCAGGCACACAAATCAAATTGCAGGATAAGCTCTTTTTTAAAAGTCTATTTCCAAAGTTGCTAATGTAAAGGAGTATAGCTTCCTCTTTTTCCGAGTTCAGAGCACTTGTTTGTGTCTCATGACTGAGTGTGGCCTCAGGAGTCTAAACCTGTTACAAAAAACTCATAGAAATTTGTGAAAAACATGTCTGTCTCAAAGGAAACAACTGGCTGGAATCTCTGTGAAGATGTAGAGACTTTTCATTAAAAATATAAGTGATTGCAAGAAAACATACAACAGATTAGTAGCCTATCCTCTATAAAACTGTCAACAGCATCACAGCTAGGGTCCAAGGCAGCTAGAATTTGTGTGGGTCTGGGAATCATAAGTTGAGTGACTCAGTTAGGGTGGAATTGACTTCATTGGAGAGGACCCAGGCAAAATCCTCCACACCACTCAGGAACTTTATGCATAGCTAAAGTGGTGTGAAGGGCACAACAGGGTCCTCTGCACTTAGAAGAGTTCAGACACAATTAGCACGTAATGAATTTTAATGTGTTTGTGTTGGTTAAAATGCTGAAGAGATTGACTTGGGTGCCTTGGATTTTTAAACTCAAATTTCAAAGCTATAATCTTGTAACTTTGAAATGTAGCTCCGTGACATGACTTTTTCCACCAAGTACCTAATAGTGGGCATTCTGTTTTCATTTGTATATTTCTTCCCTAGGCCTGATAAAGTAGACGAATGTAATAGAACATGGCACTTCAATGTGACTGAAATTAAGGTAATTTAATTTATTTAAATTAAAATGTTAATTCTGAGCAGGATTGAACACAATTACGTTTTCAAATCCCAAATATATATATATATAACTTCATAGCATATCACTTCTGATTTAATTTGTGATCTGAGATGGTTACGCTTTTAAAAATTCCCATTCCAACATTCATTAGGTGCTTTATTCCCTTATTCTAAGTCTCGATGAAGTTCAACAACTCCCTCAAATCACCATTGGTTTTGTATATACACATGGCTTGAGTCATTCCCTTGTCCTTTCAAGTAGAAATTGGCAGAACACTGGCTCTGGGCCACCCGGGGCAAAAAATCTTTCTGGAGGGGAGGGTACAACTAGTGCACCCCTTGCAACTTCTGTACTGCTGGGCGGCCCAGCACCTGGGAGTGCATTTTCCACATAGCATCCAGTAGTAGGACTCCTGTTGAGCGTCATCTGTTGCTTAAAGCTGTTCCCCTGATTGAACCAATAAGGGAATTGAAAGTAGTGGTGGCTGCAGCCTGTCCTTTCCCAGAGGTGAGGTACATCTGCAAGCTGGGGTGCAGAGAATGCAAATTAAGGAGAGCTGAACAGTAAGTTCTATGATCAATTTGACTTCTTTCAAACCATAAAGAACGGAAAAGTCCGTTTTTCAGTCAAACATTGCTTTATAATACAGGGTGGGGGATTAAAGTCTGGAGATGAGTAAGACAGGAACCATACAATTTAACAGGATTTCTGTAGGGTTGCAGAAATTAATCAGTTAATTAAAAGTTACAGAAACATATCTTATTTCAAGAAAGGAAATATTTTTGTACAGTGTTTCAAAATCTAATTATACATTTGCATCTGAAACAGCCATAAGGATACATTTTAACCATATCAGCGCATAAAACCTCTTACTCGCCTAGCAATAATTTTTTTCACTTATATAATGGGTTTCAGCCAAGAATCTTTAAGTAATTGGGCAATCTTTTGAAATTGTATCCATTTATGTATGTTGAGTATGAAGTCACTTTTCAGGGTAGATACATATTTTTAATTTCTAGGATCTCTTGCCAGACATGAGACACTACTGGCCTGATATACTCCATTCATCTCCTAATCGCACCCAGTTCTGGTGAGTTCAAGCTACAATGGAAAATAATTTTGGATGTATCTTATAGTCTTTCTGAATGACTATCTGAAGGAGCCTTTGGTACCAGGCTTCAGATGCTTGCTGGAGTTGCATGGAAAACCTTGGAAAAACAACTTTAGAAATGATTCTGCACTTTCCTTCTGTGTCTCTTATTCTTTGTCAATATTAATATTTACATGAAAGCAGAATCTCTGGCCTCAGTCTTCCAAAGGTTTACTTGTGTCGGCCCTTACGCCTTTATTGTGTCGGCCCTTACGCCTTTATTGTGTCCCAGTGACTACCATGACAGTCAGTGCAGTCATCTAGACCTGATAAGTGTCATATACAGACCTCCTGTAGGTGTATCACACATTCCTATAGGACTGGTAAAATGGCACACATTTAAAGAGGGAAGGAGAGAGAGACATTCCTCCTACAAGAAGTATATGAAGGTGCAGAGAACAACCAATCAAGAACCTGTGAGTTCTTGTCAAACAAACTTGATAGTGTTCTTTGAGATTACAAGATTGGTTGACAAAGGTAACTGTGTTGACATCCTACAAATATAATTCTGTAAGGCATTTTGATGTAGCTCCACACAATATCCGGAGGTTTCTTGTTTTTTTGTTTTTTGTTTTTGTTTTGTAAAAGCACTATACAAAAATCAGTGCAGCCCATATTGGATTTATTTAAAAACTGGTTAACTGATAGATCTAAAAAAAACCCCCAAAACCCTAAATGGGAGTCATCATCCAATGTTGGTGTTTCTTATGGTTTCCCACAGGGACCTGTTCTTTCCCCAGCTCTATTCATTATCTTTATCAATAATCTGGAAATAAATATAAAATTAGTGTTGCTAATATTTACAGATGGCCCACAAGTTGGTGAAGCAATAAATAATGATAAAGATAGGTTTGATCCATATTCCTCTGTAGAACTTACTGTAAAATGTCCTCACTTAACAACATGCATTTTAGTACAGCTAAACACAAGGGCATAGTTCTGGGAATCAAGACTGTAGGTCACATTTATAGGACGGAGGACTGTGTTCGGAAAGCAGGACTGCAGTTAGTAACATTAGTAATATTAGTAACAGGATAAACATGATTCTTACTGTGTATAGTATTCTGCAAGGTCTTTGGTGTTTGCAGTAGGCTAAGCTCGTTACTATGGTTTCCATATCTTCTCTGTGTTCAGTCAAAGAAGGGAAGATAAAAACTATTTTCTTTCTTTCTCCCATTGCAAATTGTGACGGGGCAAGGCCAGATGGCTATAGTAAAGTAATGGGAGTCAGTTATATTAGTCACAGGCTAAAGAAATCCCTGTTACCAGAATAAGCAAATGGCAGCTGCTCCAGGTCAATTAAGATCTTTCCAGAAGGCAGGGAGGACAACTAGGTTGATTGGGACACCTGAAGCCAATCATGGGCTGGCTGAAACTAGTTAAAAGCCTCCCAGTTAGTCAGGTGGGCATGCATGTCAGGAGCTGTAGGAGGAAGTTGCGCTGTTGGAGAGACTGAGCAGTATACACCATATCAGGCACGAGGAAAGAGGCCCTGAGGTAAGGGTGAAGTGGATCTTGAGGAAGTGTGGGTTGCTGTGGAGAAGTAGCCCAGGGAATTGTACGCATCCTGTTTCTAAAAAGTCAGCTACCATAGCTGATACTATTAGGGTCCCTGGGCTGGAGCCCGAAGTAGAGGGTGGGTCCGGGCTCCCCCCTTTGCCCTCCTGATGAATCACTGAGACTGGGAGACAACAGAGACTGTGCAAGGGAGGATAACTTCTCCTCACCTCCCTCGCTGGCTTATGATGAAAATGGCTCAGTAGGCTGTGACCCTTGCCTCTAGAGAGAGAAGGGCTACGTGGAGGGTCACAGTGAGCCTCTGAGGCTAGCAAAATCCACCGGGAAGTGCAGGACCCACGGAGACAAGGACAGAGCTTTGTCACAAAATGTATTAATTTTTCATATCTCCTTGATAAATGCTTGAAGTTGCTGGCTCAGTAGAGACATTGTAAGTCTGTTTCACACCACGGGTTCCTTGTATAGATGTGAAAAGGCAATAGAGCATGCCTGTGAACGAAGAGCCTTTCCTGCCCAAAACCTCAACCCAAAAAGTTAATGGACTCATTCAGTATTTTATTAGATTCTCCCAGCTGCTGAGTTAAAATCCTTCACTGACTTAGTTTCTGAGGTGCTTTCCATTAGGATTGGGTAGTTTATCTCAACCTATTGGACTGAAAATTCTCCGGGGGAGTATCATAAAGCAGGCAGGGAGAGTGGCTGTCCTTTTGACCCTGCCCTCTTCCTACATAGAAAGCCCAATCCCCGCCTAGTTCCAGGGCGAGACAAACATGCCACAGAACTGGCACTTCCTGCACCCTGATCAACTGCTCTTTACTTCACTTTGCTCATTGAAACAGTTGGGAGCTTTTGGCCTGAAGAGTGAATGTAGGAGCTTGTTTCTTTTTTCTGAGGGGGAAAGTCAAGATATGATATCATGGTAGTGGACAGCAGGTCCTGATAAACATAAGTGAAATATTTTCATACAAGTTTGCTGGTGAAAAACGGCTATTTGATCAAAATGAAAAAAAAAATCCTTCAAAACTTTGAATCCGCTCTAGTCCCATATTTCATCATGGCTACTGATGCTGTTTAGCATTTCTAACTCAAAAGCTAGCCAACAACAGTCTTGCCAAAAGTTGAAATAACCTTGGGAAACCAGCAGTATAAAAGCAATATGGCAGTTGGTTTAGGTATGTTTTAATTCTTTTTCTGTGACCAGTATTTGTTGACTGTGTGAGAAATCCTTCCCTTTAATACTGGGAGCTGTTTAATAAGGGACAGTGTTGCCTTAAATATGGCTCTAATTATAGATTTTATGAATCTACAAGCTTTTAGCAAACCTAACACCGCTGAAATGCTTCCACATTTTTTACTTTAGTTAAAATAGTTCTAATGAAACAAATAAGCATTCCTTGTAAATATTCCTTTTTACAATATAAAACCCTGAAAATTCAGCATGAAGACCTAAAAGTGAAATGGACTAAATAGATTTTTTGAAAGCTAAATGAAAGAATTATATTAAAGAGCATAGAAAGTGACAAGTAAATGGATTTTAAAAAATCCTTCCACTTAAGAATCTAAGATCTTAGTAACATAGGAAAGAGAAATGTATGTATTCTATAATTTATCATTTTTAAATTGAAAGTGTCCCTTGTGGAGTAATTGTTTAGGGGGAAATTCTTGAAAAGATTGTTCAGCCCAAACATATAAGGCTGTAGGCTCAACCCAAATGTGTACAGCGCAGAAGAAAGAATCAACAGACCTGGCAACTATCTGCATCTAATCCCCTTTGAGTACTGCAAGTTATGGACATCTGTGTGTTGCAGCTCCTCATTATTCCTCCCTCAGTATCTACATGCCTGTGAGCCACTGCATTTGTTTAGTTCTCAGACCCACCTGATATGACTCTAGCTTTGTCTGCCAGACACACTCAGGCTTCAGTGCTCCTGTAAAGTGGAGCAGAACTCTGCAGTGCTGTTTGGACACCCCATCTTCCGTCTACAATGGTGAGCATAACAATTTTTGCTGCATTGTGGGCATTCTGCAGCTCTGCGTAGTGCAGAGGCAGAATTACTGATGTCAGCACACGGTAAAAAGTGATGGAGCAGGGCAGGTTGCATAAGTGAGTTCCCTTGCATGCCCATTAGCAGAAGGAAATCAAAAGAGGGACTGTCTCACTGAGTACTCCATTTGAATGCTGAGCCTTTGAACTCGTGTCCTCAGACACACCTGTTGTGCAGTAATGCCTTGCCTCTTTTTTTTCCCCCCATGCTGCTGAGGGTCAGGGAGATCCACAAGAGGTTTGTTGTTGGGTAGTTTGTTTATTTACTCTTTTCTGCCTGTACAGAGGACTGTCTTGCATCCATATTCGGCACAAGCATGAGCTGATGCTCAAGTGTGGTGACCTTGCCTCTCTTGCTGTTTGCCACACAAGTGCTTTGAGAAATCAAGGCCTTCCTGAGCATTAGAGAAGAAAGAAATTGGTCTCGTATTTTTCACTAGGGATCTCTGCAGTTTCCATAGTTTCCTTAGTTGTGTTTTGTGTTAAGTGGAAGAGGTGAAGGTAAAATGCCACATTCCCATACTCAACAGTTAAAAAGAATTAATTATTTCTACATCTTTTCTCTTCTTTCATGTAGCTGTGCTGTACAAAATAGGTAGCTTCTCTTTAAGAAGGGTTATCTTATTTTTTTTGTTACAAGCTGGGGCAAGCACCCCATCCTGGACACTCACCATGCTGTAGTGAACCCAAACTTTGGGTCCCATGGGTTCTTGCTGTGCTGGGCAGAGCTCTTGGCAGTGGAGACACTACAGTCCGGTTGCCCAGGCCCTGAAACTATCAGCAGTTCTTCCAAGCAGCTGCTGCATGCTTCTAAAGTTCCACCAAAGCTGCAGACCCTCTGGTTTGTAGTTTGGTATGGATACATACAGATAGATTCTGATCTGTCACATTTGTATTGACTCTAAAGAAACAAATCTATAGCAATGAGAGAAACATTTTCATTGTAACCCCCTAATTTCAGTACTTCTGCAGTCTTCCAGTTACACATAACCACCCCCAATCCCCAAATCTTGAACTCAGTCTTCATACTCACTCCCAGCTCAAAAGTAAATGTCATTTTTTCCAATTCCAAGTATTTAATAAGAGTTTTCATACTTTAAGTTCTTTAACTTTTATTGTAAACATATAACTCAAAGGCATCCTGAAGAAGAAAAAAAACTGGACTTATGCCCCTTCTTTGTGATGTATAAAGGGGGCATCACAAGAGTCAAGGGATTGAAAGCAAGGCATCCCAAAAGTGAAGGGATTTTTTTAGTCATTCATGACAAGCTTTTTGTGTTTTGTGCTGACATCTATTTAACCCCAGTCACTAATGAACATTTTGGGAAAAGGATGTCCGTGTTAAAGATTCCACACCTGCATCTTTCACAGTAAATATGCCTTGAGATATAGCTGAATCTCCTGCTTTGTATGTGTTAGTCCACTGACAAAATAGAGTATGGCCTTTTTTTTTTTTTTTTGCATTACATTCTGGGATACTGATAGCCTTGACATTATAGTAAGAAACCAGGTTTTCAGACATCTTCATTGTTTTTAAAGTTCGATTTGATGCATGGCCTGCTACCATAGTGTACAAGACCTCACTAAAGTTTATACTAAAAGAAATTTAGAAATGTTAACACTTTAAACAAATTCTCAAAGGTTAACTTTCTGAACATGACTCATTTCTCATAATACATTTTTTATCTCACTAATATGACTAAATTTTGTCAAGCCGTGACTAACTTGGGTATGTTCTGCTTACCTAAGTTAGCCCACAATGCATATTTTTCAGATGGTTTTCTGTATCTGTGTAAGCTATTTATACGGCCCACCATCACCATAGTTCCTGGGCACATCGCAATCTTCAATATGTTTATCCTTACAACACTCCTGCGAGGTAGGGAAGTATTACTTATTCCTAATTTACAGGTGGAAAACTGAGTCACAGAGATACTAATCTATTTGCCAGGGTCATACAGAATGTCTGTTGAAGGATAGGGAATTGAACACAGATATCCCAGTCCCAGACTAGTACCTTAACCAATGGACCATCCTCTTTTTCTCTCTTGTATAGTTTATAGGACAGTCTGAAACTATCTCATGCAGTATTACTGAAAAAAAATGTTCCCAGTTCACCAGCCAGATAGAACTCTGTTTCTGTACTAAATAATAAAATTTCATGAAGGCAGGGCTTTTGTATTGTACGTTCTACTGTATGTGGCACTAAATTGTTATCAGACTTGAAAAATACATCCTGTTACTGGATGGCTTTGTAAGTCTTGTTACAATTCAGAATCCACAAAACCCTGAAGCCCAGTGTGTAAAATGTAGCTGTTCCTAGCTCTGCCACTGACTGTAACATTTATGGTCTCAGTCAGTGGGCAAGTTAGCGTCTCTCTTCTTTTGATCAAACGATTATCTCATCCTGATATTTCCTTAGCAATTTGCACTAATAGAACTGTGAAAATCTGCCTTCCTACAGCAGTGTTTTCTCTTTGTGTTGTGTGCTCTGCTACATGCTAGGGTTCTCTGCCTTATCACATCTAATCCAGTCTCAGTCTGAGATGCTGGCACCGGGAATGGGAGGCTTCTCATTTTCGCACCTGGCACCTATGGCAAAGTGAACAAGATGTATTTGTAGAAATCAGTATCTCTGCTGACTTGTACTGAGGTGCAGGGCGATACAGGAAGAGGATTTGGGGGGTTTGGAGTGGGATTTTTGCCTACGCTAGCTGATTATATGTGCAGTTGTTTGTAAGAGATGTGGTGGTTTTCTCCTGTTTCAGTTATTAACTTCATCTGTCATATGCTTGTTCTTATACTAATATTTGGATAAGAATGCTTTATCTTAAAGGGACTTTCTCTTAGCTCTTTGAGTATACCTGGGCAGATTCCATGTCTCCTAAAAACTGAATTTAGCTTTGTTCCCATAGGAAGCATGAGTGGGAGAAACATGGGACCTGTGCAGCCACAGTGGAGCCTCTTAATTCTCAAAAGAAATATTTTGGTAGAACATTGGATCTCTACCAAAAACTTGACCTCAACAGGTATGGAAATCTACCCCTTCTGTTGGTTTATTATTTTAGTGGTGCAAAAGGTTTTGATGTACACTTAACAACAAAGAAAAAAACCCTAAAAATGTCATTCTGCAGTGGAAAAATGACTGTTGATGCCAGTTGTCTTTAATAATGTACTCTAGAGCCAGAGCAAGGATTATTCTGCTACCATTTTAAGTTGTAGTACAGTCTCCTTTTCTCATCACACAATACTAGGCACCAATCCAACTTCCATTTCAGTCAGTAAGTTTCTTCGTTGTCTCTGAGTCCAATTTTGCCATCCTTTTCAGGTAAAACTCCCATTGACTGCAGTGAGAATGGCAGGATTGGCCCTAGAGGTAGATTCATTTTTAGATACCATAGGCTGCCATTTGTTTACTGAAGCCCTGATCCTGCACACACTTACACATGTGCTTAACTTTACTTCTGTGAGTAGCCCTTCTAATTTTTATGGGATTACTCACAGCAGTAGAGTTAAATATATGCAAAGGCATTTGCAGGATCAGGGCCTGAGATGGTTGCATGGTGTTATAATAGACAGTCAAATTGGAAGTCAAGTTTTGGCTACTATACCTTTTAGAAGTACTGTTATGTAACCAGAAACATTCTTGTAGATTTTTAAAAACCTATGTACAACACTGTGCTTGAGAAACTAAATTTTACAATAGGAGGGCCAATAAAAAAAATTCAGGACATTTATAAAATAAAGTGCATCCATCGTTTCCCTTAGTGGAAAAGGACAAGTCAAGTGCAAAACTCTTGTTCAGCTTTCTGAGAGAGAGAATAATAGACTAGGATTTAGGAACTATAGAGGAAGGATCCAATAGAAACAGAGGACAGCCTGAAAGACCAAAGTCAACCAATGCCAAAGCCCCCACCATGCACTCATAAGCAATTAACTGTGTTATGTTTTCCTATTCCTATTGGATGATCCCATCTCACTGCTCCAACACACTGGTGCAGAACAAAAAAAACTTTTAGATGGGATATAACAACTTGTCCCAGCTCCTTAGGTATACATTAATTAGGAGCACTTTTAAAAATGCCCCCCATGTAGTGACTAGCAGGCTGTCAGCTTCTCCGTTCCCTGCTTGAATGTGCAAATTTGCAGCATACAGATGTCTCATGTGAAACCTACATGAAATTATCAGCCTGGGAGACCCCGGGTCCAGTCCACCTGTTCCAACCATTCTTTCATTATTTATCCACAGTGGAACAGCTTTGCCAGGAGAGCTTGAGAGAACCCCACATCTGAATACCCCTAGCTCAGGGGTTTGAGCACTCTGAGAGGTGGGAAACCCCTGTTTTGAATCCTTCCTCCCCCTTTGACGGAAAGGGGGGAGTTGAACATGGGGTCTCCCGCCTCTCAGGCGAGTGCTTTAGACACTGGGCTAAAAGTTATAAGGTGGGCGGCAGCACCACCACCTCGTCCTCCTTTGACAGAATTTTGAATGGGACCTTTTGAGCACACCTACTGGATTGGGCACTGCCTCTACTTAGGTGGGCTAAGGACTATCTTCCCTTGGTTCATGGATCACTCTGGGACTTAGGCAGGAGATAGATGGCTGAACACCTAGAGGAAGACAGCAATGAACATGCACAGAGGCAGGAACATAGGTGCCTACAGAACTTTTACTATGGAAAAATGTAGGTGCTGAGTGAGCGTGGGTGCCTTCAGGGTTCAGTGGGAGTATTGAGGATCGCAGTGGAGGCAAAAGAGGGACTTGGGTTCCTAAAACATGGACTCAGATGTCTAAAACAGGGATCCACTAAAGTACTTTGGCTCGTCCCACCTATCCTGCTTAGCTTTATTGAATGACTTATTTTAAAAATATGCTTTTAATATTAAATTAACTGGAAAACTTGTTTGATTATTCTCAGCTGACAATGGTTCTGAATCCTGAGCCACACTCCAGTTGCTTTGTGCTCTTCCACTGGTATAAAGTGACCTTAAATTTGGCAAATCTCCCTGTGTACAGGGATTTCCAGTAGCACACAGTGACCACAACAACTCCTATTCCTCTCCCTCCCTCTGGTCAGATGAGGAAAAAGAGATGTGACCTGCTGCTCTAACCTGTATCACGTGACTGACACACCATAGCCCATGGATTTGGGGAGCGCAGAGAATGCCGTGGGCCCCTCTCCCAGCTACAACTGAGGATCTGGCTCTAATGGTTAAAGTTGATTCCAGCAGGAGAGTTCTCACTGCACCAGCCAAGGAGTAAGGGGAATGCTAGTTACTCAAGCTCGGGAAAGGAGAGGGAGGTTGAGCTTCTCCCATTCCCCTTGCTTTAATCTGTCTGTCTAGCTCCCTCACTGGGATTTTCCATTTATCCATTGGTTAGCTGTAGCATATCTACATGCAGTGACTCCCATAAAATGTAAGATGTATTACTCCACAAAAGGCATTTTTTATTCATTTCAGTTGTCTCCTGAAAGTTGGGATAAAGCCAAGCAGTACCTATTACCAGGTAAGAAGCTGTCATACTTATAAAATCATTTTAATGTATTGCTGCTAGAAGGAGTGGGTAGCTTCAGACCTGCTGCAGATAAGCAATCTCTTTTAACTGTATAGCTGTTTACAGTAGTTTTTCATGCAAAAGGCTTTTTGTGACGGTACAAATATGGGATTTGTTGAAGTGATGCTATATGCCTTTCAGCGCTCTCTGGCTTTTAAATCTTCAGATGACAGCCATAAAAGAAGCCCTTACAAGTGTTTATGGAGTAACACCAAAGGTTCAGTGCCTTCCTCCAGAAGAGGTAAAACTTTCTTTTATTATTTCCTTTATTGATTGAAGTAGTAGACAAAAGTTTACCTTGATGAAACTAAATGTATTAACTTCTGATGATTTTTCCTCTCTCTTTGGCTTCTATGTTGGGATATTCCAAGTATCCCCTGAAATATATTTACCTCAAAGCATACAGTACTCAACTGTCTCTACTTAGGCCAAATTTTAGCTCTGTCCTACTAAAAATAAAAAGACTTTGCCTGATAGCACATGGGGATTAGGCAAATTCAGAGCCTTACCCAGTGTCCCAAAAGAATTCCTGTTTGGAGAAGTTTTATGGCTTTTCCTATGATTCGGAAAGACAGAGCTAAATGATCTGTCTTCTCCAGCCAAGGCTGCCTAAAAATCCGGTTTCATTTTCCCTTTCCATGCCAGCAACTGATCTATAAGTTAGCATGCAGTAGAGAATTTAGTGTGCACAATCAATACATTATGGCACAAATACAATTCTACCAAAGTAAAATAAACTATATATTTAAGCTACAAAACAGTGCACATGGCATTGAGTTTAGTTAGCTATATAGGTTGTGATTTCCCCCTCCCTTTTAACTATCACTTTGTGATGTGACCTTTCCTGAAAAGGTCACAGATCAGCTCTAACAATCACTAATTTCCCTATCACAGTTTATTAAAGCTGTTTTGCTGGAAAACATTTGGCGGAGTTATCCCACCTGTGCAGAAAGCTATTTCATGAAAACCATTCCAAGTTAAAATTGCTTTTAGAGTTGAATATCTTTTTTTTGTGTTGTCAAGTTAATTTGCTTTAGCAATATTCTGAGTCTTTTTGTGCTCAGCCTTTCCTTTTTCACATTTAAACCCACTAAATCATAGCCTCTAAGGTCAGAAGGGTCCATCATGATAGTCTAGTCAGACCTCCTGCACATTGCAGGCCACAGAACCTCACCCACCCACTCCTGTAATAGACCCATAACTTATGGCTGAGTTACTGAAGTCCTCAAATCATGATTTAAAGACTTCAAGTTACAAAGAATCCACCATTTGCACTAATTTAAACCTGCAAGTGACCCATGCCTCATGCTGCAGAGGAAGGCAAACCTCCCCCCCCCCCCCAAAGGGTCTCTGCCAATCTGACCCAGAGGAACATTCCTTCCTGATACCAAATATGGCAATCAGTTAGACCCTGAGCATATGGGCAAGACCCACCAACTATCAAAACCAGTTGCCGCCCTTTTAAGGGCTTTTTAAACAACAAATGAAAATTGGAGTTGTGCCATCAACTTCAATGGGAACAGGAATTTGCTTTAGTGCTTTTAATCGAGAGGCTGTATGTGTGGAACAGGTTAAAGCCTGGTTATTTCTATTCTGGAAAGGAGGAATGGGGAGGCAATGATAGTGGTGCAAACAGTGATTGCTGTCATGGAGACTGCTCAGGTGTGCATGCATTTATTTTGTTACAAAAAAATCCAATACATTTCTTCTTTTTGAAGGGTGCCCAAATACTACAGTGATGAGAAATCTCTTTATCAGTATAAATTAGAGCTTCGCTCTAGTAAGAATCTTAAAAAACGATAGCCAGTATCTTAGGTATTGTGACAGGGTCGGCCCAGAGAACTACAGGAGAGTGATAGAAGGCAGATATATTAGCCCCAGGTTAAGTAGGTCCCTTTTCCCTGGGTAAGGTAACAGGGAAGGTTCCAGAACAATCAGGAACTTTCTGGAAACAATTAAGGCAGACAGGCTGATTGGAACACCTGTAGCCAATCAAGAAGCTGCTAGAATCAATTAAGGCAGGCTAATCAGGGCACCTGGGTTTAAAAAGTAGCTCACTTCAGTTTGTGGTGCGCATGTGAGGAGCTGAGAGTGAGAAGGCGTACTGCTGGAGAACTGAAGAGTACAAGCAGTATCAGACACCAGGAGGAAGGTCCTATGGTGAGGGTAAAGAAGGTGTTGGGAGGAGGCCATGAAGAAGTAGCCCAGGGAGTTGTAGCTGTTGCACAGCTGTTCCAGGAGGCACTCTAGACAGCCGCATTCCACAGGGCCCTGGGCTGGAACCCGGAGTAGAGGGTGGGCCCGGGTTCCCCCCAAACATCCCAACTCCTGGTCAGACACAGGAGGAGTTGACCTGGACTGTGGGTTCACGAAAATGGTCGAATTGAGGGCTGCTGTGAACCTCCAAGGCGACCAAATCCACCAATAAGCACAAGACCCACCAAGGCAGAGGAGGAACTTTGTCACAGTATCCAAATGGATTCACTGACCTGCACACTTTGTGAATTGCATAAAGGGAACAAGGTGTCTGTACTATGAACTGTATGCAGTAGATACTTCTGTAAACATCATCCACCCATACCTTTACAGTGACTTATCTTCAATATACCATAAGAACAAGCAATCTATATCTAGAGCAGGGATCTCAAACTCAAATCACCATAAGGGCCACATGAGGACTACTACATTGGCATGAGGACTGCATTACTGACACCTTTTCATACAAAGATACAAAAGCCCCCCACTCCTGCCCTGCCTCTTGCCACCCATTCCCCACCCCCATTCCAGCCCCGAGTCCAACCCCTTCCCCAAACCCCGGCCCCGGCCTCGCCTCTTCTCTGCCTCCTTCCTGAGCGTGCTGTGTCCCCGCTCCTCCACCTTCCCTCCTGGAAAGTCCTAAGCGCTGCCAAGCTGTTTGGCGGCGGGAAGCACTGCGAGGTAGAGAGGGGAGCAGCACGCTCGGGGAGAGGGGGGGTGGAGGCAGGGAGGGAGCAGGGGGGTGAGGGGAGCTATGGTGGGCTGCAGGAAATAACTCCGCAGGCTGCCTGTTTGAGACCCCTGATCTTGAGGATTAGCTTATTTTCTCCTCTACAACAAGAAGCCTCAATGAGTGCCTTCAAAAGCTGAGTATCTCATTTTTACTGTTTCTAGGGCGAAGAAGTGCAAACAATTGGTCAAATTGAATTCTGTTTTACCAAAGACTTGGAGCTGAGAAACTGTACACACTCAGAGGCTGAATCCTACGTAATGCCAAACAACTGGCATTTTGGACCTGAGGAGTTGTCTGTCTGTAATGATACCCTGACATATTACCCTGCACAGGTTCAGTTTTACAACTGAAGCCTCCAGAACTTGAAATACTTGGTAACAGATACCTTTTTAAAATGAGATACTTTGCAAAGCAATGAGAAAAGTTGTTTTGAGTAAGTGATACTATGCTTGCCTACCTCACGGGAGTGATGGGGGAATTAATGTTTGAAGTGCTATAGGTATAAGGTGATTCTTTTGTATTAAAGAGGCAATGGGCCAGATTCTAATGTCAGTTCCTTAGGTGGAAATCTATGGTAATTGCACTAGTTTAACTAAGGTCAGAAGCTGACTGGTTTTTTTACTATAGGAAACACTGTTTAAAAGAGAAATGGCTTCTCAAAGTTCAGAATTGAATTAAAGTCCGATTCTTTATCTGGGCACTCTTTTTTTTAAAATTATTATTTGTGTGTTTTTTGGAATTGCAAACAGAGCATGAATTCGTCCCTCAGCCCACTATAAAAATATTCTTATCTCTCAGAGTGAGATGAGTTTCTTGGGAGAAAAACTTATTCAGACATGAAACTAAGGGTCTTGTTCAGAGCTCCTTATGCAGGCAAAACACTGATTAGCTTCAATAAGAATTTTGCCGGGGAGTGCTGAATAGAGGCCCTGTCCTATGTGGTGTTAAGCCCCTTTTACACCCATTGAAGTCATTGAGCATTGTGTGTAACTGTTATCTCACAGGACTGGGCTTGTTATCTTTGTGTTGTCTTGTTTGGCGAATGAAAAGCTAAGATGCAAACTCCCAAATGTGGCCAGTGGCCACTGATGATTTTGGTGCCCCAGTTTTTAGCTGCCCTTTTCAAAATGCCAAGATTTCCCTCTCCTCCAGATGCTGAACACCTGTAGTTCCCATTGATCTGACTTGTGAGTGCTCACTAGTCTGAAAATTACACCCAAGATTTCTGACTGGGCAGCCAAAAGTAGAGGCACCCATAAGCAGTAGCTAGTTCTGAAACTGCTAGCCTGAATGGCTCCATATTCTTCTGACATATCTGATATCACCAAACCCAAATGTTTGAAAACCTACTACTAGAAATGACTTGGTAGGTCAGGAACATAAGAACCGTCATACTGGTCCGTCTAGCCCAGTATCCTGTCTTCCGAATGCCAGGTGCTTCAGAGGGAATGAACTGAACAGGTAATCATCAAGTGATCCATATATCGCATATGAGGAATCTTAAAGGGCCAGGACTTTTAGAATTGTTGCATCACTAAAGAATAAATCACATTATTTTGTAACACTTTTATATTGTAAAGGAGACCGACTTCAAAGGATGCTGGTATTATCTGGTACGTTTCAGTGATTCCTGTGTGGGATGGCTGAATACACTACTGAATTTTACTAATAAATAGTAAGAGACAAATTCTGTTCTTTGTTTTCAAGGTGGGGGCTCCAGCTGAGTTCTGTGGGCATTTTGCTTGTATATGAAAGAACACAGATTGGCTCAAAGATCAGAAATAATTCACTGCTTATCAGTATTACTTTGGACTGAATCCAGAGAAAGTCAGTGAAATTTTCAGGGATGGTACTTTGTCTTCTGGTAATGCTGTGAGCATCTGTAGTTCTTTCATCAGGACTGATTTAGTAATGAACACGGTATGAAATTATCAGTAGTAAGAGGAAATCTTTGTCTTGGGATCTTTTAAAATTTCAGTATGTATGTTTGTCCAGTAACACATCTGTTTGTAATGGTGAATGCTAGTGCAGGATCCCTTAATGCAATGATTGTCAGTAGAACCGTGTTGGTATTGTTGAATAACTTCTCAGTGCACAGTAAAGAGTTACAGGGACATAACCTGCTACTGGTAGGGCCCAAAGTTACATTTACATCAGGCTTTTGGAAAATACACTTTCAAAAGCCCGATGAAAATGTTTGCATGAAACTAAATATTTTTGCTGACTAATTTCCTGTGAAGTTGTGAATCCAAACTACAGTATTGTGTGAAGTGCATGAAACTCCGAGTGAAACAAACCTTCATCCTAGAAGCTTGTACTACATGCAGAGTGCTCATTAACATTCCATTTTAGGTCCTTAAGCTTTCCTCAGTTCATGCCAGAATTTTCCAAGCAATGGTAACTGTTGAGACTTACCTAAAATGCATGAAATAATGAGAACATACTTGCTTTCAACAGAGTCTTTCTGAAATCATTAATATGGCTTTTTTCTTCTAATTATGGGGAGCTATCTTTGACAGTAGGGAGACTGGCAGAAAATTAATCCCTGTTGGGTGAAATTCTGTTCTGTGCAGAAAACCAGCACAAAGCCTATGTGCTTCTTTAGTACCATTTCAATTCTCATCATAGGGCTTCAGTGGTGCATAAGCTTTGTTCTGGTCCTTTACACAGAGGTTGATTTAATTCCAGTATGAACAACAACCCCAGGGATTTAAAAAAACAAACTATGAATCAGTCAGCGGGGTTCTTTTTATTTGTTTTCTGGGGCTGGATCCATCAGGCTCTGTTTTCAAGCTTTGCTACACAACCGCGAGGGCTGGAAACATGTCTTCTTCAGTGAAAGCTGTGATTCTCACATAACATGAATTTAGGAGCCAGGGTTTAAATACCACATATAGTGAGACTCATGGTAAAATCATAGGAGTTGGCAACCCTGATAAGCCCTCCCACTTCAATTATAACTTGGGCACTTGAAAGTCTAAAGCTACCATTTATAAGTTAGTGTACACCTAAAAGGCTTCAGCAATAAGTACTCTAGGGTACTTTTTTAAACTGCCTTCATTTTATTCTGCTATTGGAAACTTATTGGACCAATTTTGACGTTTTGTGATATTGTCCATTATCAAAGCTACAGTCAGCAGCTTTCTTTCATAATTCAGGATATAATGATAGAGTTTAACTAGCCTTTTGAAAGGGTATGTCTACACTGGAAACTTCAAAGCGCTGCCGCGGGAGCTCTGGGAGAGAGCTCTCCCAGTGCTCCTGGTAATCCACCTCCACGAGGGGACTAGCTCCGAGCGCTGGGAACCTGTCTACACCAGCACTTTAACACGCTCGGACTTGCTGCACTCGGGGGTGGTTTTTCACACTCCTGAGCCAGCAAGTTAGAGCGCTATAAAATGTAAGTGTAGACAAGTCTTTTTGAAAAACACCTAAGTTGTAGAATAAGGGCTTGATTACATTTGGAAGCTATTGCGAAGTAAACTAGAGTGTGAATTTAAAGTGCAATAACTATTCCACACTAAATTCCCATTTGGACACACTTATTCTGAACTCAGGGTGCCTTTTTGTGGTTTAGCTTAATCTATTTTCGGTTAATCAAAGTGCACAAAGGTATGCTTAGTGTAGAATAAGTGTGCCTACACAGGGAGCTATTACGGAATAGCTATTCCAAACTATTTCCCAGTCTAGACGAGCCCTAAGAGTCACTTTTGCTAGCTGTAGAAAATGCTTATTAACTGGGGATTGGCTAAAAGGGTATCTGATCTGTGTTCTTCATTGTCCCAAGAACTTTCCAGATACTACATCTTAGCATCATTGTTTTTATGGAGCGAAAACAATGACATGCTTCAATAACTGCAATCTCCCAAGAATCTCTCATGGAGCTCTGGCTTAACATTTTCTAATCGCTTCTGAGTTTTATTATTAACTCAACTGTCGTTAACCCAACTAAAAGAAAATAGAATGCTCGAGACTTGACAGTAAATATGGCTTCCTTGGAGCCTACATTTTCTGCAGGCCTTTGTTTAGTACTAACAAAAGTGGATACAGCATGGGGGGGGGGGGGGGGGGAATCACACCAGCAAATGCCGGATGCTGTACTGTACAGTTATCAATTTGTTGTTTTGCTGAACTTCTGCAACTTTTTCTCAGTCATACTCGTACCTGGCTATCAACAGCCAGGAAGGTTTCTTAAAATTGAGAAGTGGCAATAGAGTTGTTGATTCATGTTGTACAGTTGTTTAGTGGACATTTAAATCAATAACAGCATTTAGCTTTCTTCTTTTCTTCCTGTATCACAGGATGCTGCTAAAAATATCTTTATGAATAATGCCAAACAAAAGTTGGGGGGGGTGGGGGGTGTAATGTTAATACCTATAGCAACTCTCTGCAAAGACTAGAAATCTCTAATACAAACCAGTTTTAATGAAATCCTAGGCAAAACAACTGAGAGTGCAATTATGTACTTTAAATGCAGGGAAACAAGAAACCAATTGTCTAGATGTGACAAGCTAACAGACAACCTTGCCACAGTGAAATATGCAAAGATAAAGCCAACTCTTCCCAAATACAGAACCAGTGAAGATAAACAAGTATCATCTGGGAAGTATAAAGCACATTGCCAACCCAGAGAGGAATAATTGCAACTAATGTAACAGAGAAGAGATTGTGATTGACAAGCACTTGCTAAGCTAGTGTACAAGCTTCCCAGTATTGTGAAAAATATATTCTATACTTTATCACAGATGTGAGACTTTTCATTTAAAAAACTATATAACTGAAGGAGAAAGATGACAGAGACAGCATCGTGCTAAGTAGTAGCCTGCTTTGGAATATAGAAAAATTAAAAATGAGTCAACACAGGAAATTAAACACCTAACACACGCTGAAGTCCTGTTCTGTGCACATGCATTTACCTTAGAGATCCCCTCCAAGATCTTGGGTTCGGTTACACTTTGGCCACACTTTTATGTATCTCATTTAAAAAAAAAATATTTTGAATTTGCTTTGCCGCTAACAGTTTAACAAAACACTACAGCTGTTAAGTATAGTACCTTGGTTTTGGACTACACTACCTGCTTAATGTCAAAGTCCTGCTGCAAGCCACAGAGGTACGAGCAGGGCCGGCTCCAGGCACCAGCGTTCCAAGCAGGTGCTTGGGGCGGCAATCTGCAAGGGGCGGCAGTCCGTGTGCCGTAAGGGCGTTTCCGTGGCGGCGGCAATTCTGTGACAGCCTCTCTCTTCAGCCGCCCGTGGTGGCAAATCGGCAGCAACTTCCATCTTCAGCTGTCCGCGGCGGCAATTCGGCAGCAGCTTCTATCTTCAGCTGCTCGCGGCAGTGGCAACTCGGTGCGCTGCTTGGGGCGGCAAAAAC